AGACCCATCAAAGTCGTTATAAATACCGTACCAGAAACATGTTAATGTGAATACGACATTCTTGTAGAAGAAACAAGGAATCATCTCTGCCAACCTTTTGTATGACCATCTGCCATGAACGAGTAATAATCTGGTTAAGTACTTAAACTGACCAATTGCGTAATCTGACGACATAACCGCCTGTCTACCTTCCTCACCAGCGATACCAATACCGATATTCGCAGCCTGGATCATGGCAACATCATTAGCACCATCTCCAATGGCTAATGTCATGACATTAAGCGAGGTCTTCACCATCTTGACAACACTAGCTTTTTGTGATGGGGAGACACGACAGCAGATTACCGATTTACATTGTTTACCAAGTAGCATAAATTTGTTCTTCAAATTCTGAATTGACTCATTCTCATTTGATAAGTCACCAAAAATATGTGCCAATGCAGCACCGTCAATTATAAGTGCAAAATTCGCAGTCGGAGATGAATGGTCATTTTTAGCTTCAGACATGAGGGACTTAATTTCATTATTGAAATCTGTAGTTCCATTTAGCATATTAAAATTCTCTTGCAAATATTTTGTGACCAAGTTATCAATGTACGCAATATTTTCAGGGTCATTTTCATCCGGACGAACAACCAATAATTTCATATCATTTCCTAACAAGTTGCATGAGAAACCAATATTAATAGCGGTTTCAATTCTATCACCAGTTAAAACCCATAATTTAATACCCGCCTCCCTTAATATACCAATTGAATCTGGAACACCTTGTTGTAACCTATCTTCAATAGCTGTACCACCTAAAAGTATTAAGTTCTGTTCTATCTCTTCATCCAATTCATCAATAATCTCTTCACGACTGTCATCAATAGAAGAATATGCTTCCTTATATCTTGCTAACCAATTTTGAAAATAGGTAGGATCTAATTCTTTCTGAGCGATACATAATGTTCTTAAACCCTCTTTTGCAAAATCTTCTAGGTGTAATGCTGTTCTAGTGATAACTTCTTCGTTGCTCAAATTATTGTCTAATCTGGAAAAAATAACATTATCAGCACCTTTAGATATTAATAGAATTCTGTTATCTGGAGTCCGAATAATACAGGACATTCTTTTTCTAGCAGAGGTGAAGGGTATAACTTGTAGCAATTCATATTCTCTAGGTTTTCCATAAATATTCAAAACCAACGACTTTCTTAAACGTTCTTTAAATTCGATTCCAACATCTCTAGCAACTGCAACCAATGCAGCTTCATCAGGAGATTCCGCCTTGAAATCTCTTAAATTTGGGTTATCTGAATTTTGTTCTGTTACGACAGTGTGGCATAAAGCCAAGGCGTACATAAATTTTTCATTCGCTTCTTTTTGTTCTTTACCAGTGACCAACTCTGGCGTAATAGTGTCTCTAACATAATCATTGGAAATAAATGTTAAAGCTTCCTCATTCAATTGATCGTTGTTACTGAATTTGATTAAGTTATCAATCATATCGGTTTTATTCTCAGCTATAATGTGTTTCCATTTTTCTTGTTCCTTTACGATATCAACCCCTTCTCTCTTATCTAAACCTTGCTTTGCTTCTGTATAAGCATAACCATACGACTTACCATTGATCGTGCACTTCTTGAATTCCATAACATTTTGGGTCAATGTACCAGTTTTATCACTGAAGATGTATTCAATTTGTCCCAAATCATCAGATATATTCCAAGACTTTGGAATACAAGGGAAATCAAGTCTATCATAATACATCTTTATATCTGAATAAATAAAAAACGCTTGTAAAGTTTTGATAATTTCAACAGAAATGTATAATGAAATTGGAACCAAAGACTGATAAATAATTAAAGCCACAAAGAAAGCAAGGACACCATTAGCTGCTGCAGTCGGAGCATATGGTTTAAAATCAAAATATAATCTTGAGATATTTTTCTTATTGTAGAATAGGCCATTGATCAACCCTGAAACAAAACATAAAACAAACAAGACTAAGAAATTGATGATAACAGACAAATTCAATTGCCTTGAAATAAGAGACGATTTGGTTGGAGTAATACCCGAGTTCAACATAACTTTTGTTTCACTACCGGTGTAAACAACAACACCAATAACCCATTTTGTGTTTCTCAAGGTGGATCCTCTCAACAAAACATTGTCATTATTAATCGCTTCTTTTTCATCGTCATTAATCAATTGACCATTTTCGTCATAATTCTCATAATGAATTGTTCCTTTGAAAGTATACAAATGACTGTTTGGCGCATCACATTCGATCCAAAATTTGGTGTTACCCAAGTCTTGGGAATGTTTAATGTTACTAGAGCCACCGCACTTTAATGAATTTTTAACCTTCAAGTTAGTCTCACCATCCAAGTTTTTAGTTTCTATATAACAATTTCCTTCAATATCTGAAGATGAGATAATGATCACATCAGCTGGAACTTCCTCGTTAGCTCTAATTCTAATAAAATCACCAATCGCGACATCCTTCCATCTACGATTCTTAAAGACAGTATTAGTAGAGTTATCGCCGAAAAGATGGGGATTAACTATCGAATCCGACAACGGCTTGGAATGTACATTTCTTGAAACACGCGATTGCCCCGACTTTCTCGGCCTACTCGACGAGGGTCTATTCATCGAAGCTCTATTTGAAGCATACGAATATTCGGAATGCACAGTGGAAACTCTATGTAAGGCATTAATTTCCTCTTCTTTCTCTTGCCTAACAAGATCAGCTTTATTAGATTTTTTTCCAAACACCATAATAGCAGCTCTCTTCATCGCTTTGAAGAATTTATTGTTCTGTCTGGTGCAGGCCTTTTTAAATTTCCTCCACGGACCCACATAAGTGGTCAATACATTGGTATTATTCAACCCTTGCAATAAATGGATCGGCGAGTTATTCAAGTCGGAGTCACTACTCCCTCTTCTGTAATCTTCGATTGCGTCCTTGATGGCAGTAATACACACAATGACAATCAAAGGCACCGCTGCCAAACCAGGGTTGGGTACCCCGAAAATCTGAAACGCACCTAAGATAACCAATATCAAGAAATATGTATTGGCCACATTTGTAAATTGAAACAAGATATTTTTCGGCAAAAACGATAAGGGGGTATATTTAGTGGTTCTGATCTTGTTTCTGGGATACATCAACAAAGGATGGCCCGTTTTGGGGTCTCTTAACTCCTCAGGCAACTCGTGGTTCACATAAATGTATCTGGGGGTATTTCTGTAGATTCTCGTCATGTATTCGGGCATGGGTGCCATTCCCTTGTTGTAGAAGTACGCTTGCAACTTCTCCTTGAATGTAGGTGCTGGCGTCGTTACAAGATCCGACACACGGCTCCTTGCATTCGTATTATTGTCCTTCGACATTCCGCTGTTACCTTTTGACATCGGTCCCTCGGATGAGGTGGATCCCGTCCCTCCTTCATTCTCGTGGACAATGCCATCATCATGGGCATTTTTAGGCCACAGCGAGCTCTGTGACCCATTATTCGAATCAAACGTATTCAACGCCAACGTAGACGGCGTCTGTGCGTTTTGGTCCGTCATCAACTATATTATATTTACACTTATTAATACTCTCACTTGTTCCTCTTAATGGGAAAGCCTCCTGGAAAGTAATATTTCTAGCAAATCGACCAGCAACGTATCAAATTCTAGCACCTTCAACTTCTATTTGTAAGCACCTAGGATCCGTAGTCTCTAACTTCAATAGTTCTACAACCTATCTGTTTTATCCGATGTTGATACTTTACGGATGTATATATTTAATCGGAATAAATTTTGACCACTTCCCGCTATGTTATATGCAGGTCATGTATTACACCAAAACAACCGGTATTGAAACATACATAAACATGCAATCGAAACGGTATACACGGCTCTCTGCGCTCTCTGCGTCGTGTCATCTACATGGCTGGGTTATCTACATACGTATAGTGGGTTGTCCTCAGGAAGTAACAAATCTGGACCAAAAATAACCTGCAAGGGTATCTTTGGGGCTAGATCTCTCGACAGCGTGCGTTATTTAAAGAAGGTCCAATGTTTAGTGTGTCGGATATAAAATACATTTAGTCCTGGCCGAAACGGAAATGTAGCCTCATAGAGAAAAAGAAAATAAAGCATCCCTACACCTCAACATCAGACCTAAACACCAAGCAACTTCCAAACATCAGGTTTACACCAGACGGGAGAATAGGACGGGGTTACCCGGTCACACGGAAAAAAATTGTTGTCGACTCTCACCACTGTGAGCCTGGTGAAAAGTTCAACGAGCGGACATAATTAGCTAGTTCTTATATTGAAAGTAGTATATCTAGTACAGAATAACAAAAAAAACCACAATGTCTATCGAAGAAATCCCACAAGGCGCTGACGTCTCCATCTTATCCAAGAACGAAAAGAAGGCCAGAGAATTGATCAAGAAATTGAACTTGAAGCAAATCAAGGGTATCACCAGAGTCACCTTCAAGCAAAGAGGTAACTTAATCTACGCTATTGACCAACCAGATGTTTTCAGATCTGCTGCTGGTACTTACGTTGTTTTCGGTGAAGCCAAGGTTGATGACATGAACAAGAGAATTGCTGAAGCTCAACAACAACAAGCTCAACAAGAAGCTCTTTCTAAGGCTGCTGGTGAAACCGATGAAGCTGGTGAAGCTGGTCAAGAAGACAAGTCCCAAGAGGCTATCACCGCCGACTTGGAAAAGGCTTCTCTTAACGCTAACAAGATTGAAGAGGAAGAAGCTGATGATGGAGAAGTTGACGAATCCGGATTAGATGCCAAGGACATCGACATTATCGTTGAACAAACCCAAGTTTCCAGATCCAAGGCTGTCAAGGCTTTAAGAGCTCACGACGGTGACATGGTCAACGCCATCATGGAATTGTCTTAGTTTATGAGTATATTATAACGTCATAATACACGCAGTAGGCTTACAATAGAGTACATAATTGAATTGTAGTATTAGCAGAAGATGTATGCATATTTAGGAGTCGTGGAGGGGCGACTCGTTAGTCAGTCTATTAAATGACGAAGAATGGGTGTCGTTGGGCTCGATAAGAGTCAGTTCGACGGTCTCGTCGCCGGAAATCGGGTCTGGGGCTGGTTTGTCCATTACATTGTCAATCAGGGGCCTGTGCAATGCCGGATCTATTGCAAGGGGCGTCACTTCGTTCAATTTGAGTTCCTCGGTTTCAATGGGGGTGGTTATTCCTTCGGTTTCAATGGGGGTGGTTATTCCTTCGGTTTCGGTTTCACCATTCAAAAACCCGCAATTAGGACAGATATACGATACTTTGAATGGATTCGTGCTTCCTGGAGGTGCTAACCCGTTGTGAGTCAAGCATTGCTTGCAGATCAACGCATATCTATTCTCAGTCGCCTCATTATTATCCGATCCAACAATAAAATCTAACACCCTGTCTTGAAACGTTCTGGGTTTCTGCACTGGAGGGTTTTCCTGGAGATTCTGCAACCTCTTTATAATCTGCTGCTGTTGCTGCTGTTGTTGGGCGTTTGGCGTGTCAATTTGGCGTGATGCACCCAGCTGTTTCTTGGTGGCGGACTTGTTACCTGTTTCATCCTTCGACTTCTTTTTCTCGTCCTGGTTTCCATACTTGTTTAACAAGTCGTTTGTGGTGTTGAAATTGGTGATTTTCTTCAACTCCTCGATTTTGAGCGAATGTTTCTTCTTCAACGATTGAAGGTATTTTTCTCGTCTCCCAACCGAAAGCCTGAATATGCTATTAATCAAATACACTATCAAGTACCCCACGACTGGAAATCCCACCAATACCATAAGCTGATCATTGGACTGGCTTTTAATGAAATTGACGATCTTATTTCTTGCTATTGGAGACCTTGGCACCTTCTGATATATATAAACAAGAATCAATGCATATGTTGTTAAGAAAATTTTGCTTAAGGAGAATACCCACCGTTTTGATTTGCCTTTCAAACTGTAGATATGCTGTTGTGTATCAGAGATCTGCTTGGTCAATTGGGTTAATTCTTTTTCGAAAGTATCAGGATCAAATCCCTTCAGCTTGAATATTCCGAAGACTCCCATTTTTAGATTAGGTCTTTTGTTCTATCTAGTATGTATTCTCTGTGTTTTGCATGTATTGTTTGTAAGATAGTCGAATTTTAGCGATGATGATTGCTTTCACGTGGAAAAATTGTTCTACAAAATATATGTATATCAAATCGATTAACGAAGTCTTCGGATAGATTATTACAGCATTTCGACATATAATGACATATACGGTGGGGGATAGAAGAATAAGTATCGACAGCGATGAATTAGATGCTTCAGAAAAGGACTTGATACTAGCACACCTGAAATTATTCAAATATTGTCTCAATAATGCCTCATACAAGTTTTTGATAAGCCTGAAGAAAATCGTACATTTGTACAGTGATATCATTACTATATATAGCACGTTGTTAAGAAAAGTGCCCAATTATGATGATATCACACTTATGACTAATAGGACTCGGTTGAACTTGTTAAAATTAGAAGATGACTTCAATAAGCTCCTTGGCGACAAATGTCAAGGTGACCACACGAGGAAGGGACAATGGGAAGACAGGAACTACGAGGTAGAAGTCAAACGGATCTGCTTGCTATGCGTTGAGTCGTTGAACGAAATCTTTGAGTTGATAGTCAAGAATTTGAACTGCATCGACGTTTTTTTCAACAGCTTCGATAATTTGAAAAAGCTTTTAATACCGTTTTTGTCGAGCCAGACAAAGTCCATACAAAAACTGATGGTCAAGGCATTGTACCTATTCAAGTTGACCACCATAGTGGACGAAGTGAGCTCGATAAAGGAACTCACACCCACCATCATTAAGCAATTACGCAAAATTGAGAAAATCACCGGAGGAATTGAACGAGAACTGATTATTCTTGACACTGCATTTGTAACGTTCGATCCGTCGTTGCAACAATATACTAGCATCTTACTCGGGAAGGCCATTTTGAAGAGGGACATCGCTGACGCAGACTGTCAGATTATAAAGCGCAGAGAAGTCTGTTTCCAGGCCGCAGAACATGTGGTCAGCATTCCCTTAACCGAAGACCAGTCGTCCAATCTCTCCATGAAGAATTTGGTTAAATACATCGTCTACATCTGTATTTTGTTGGCCGTCGTTCTGAGTTTGGTACTTTACAGGATCGTCAAGGTCATGGTAGCATGACTGGAGGCCAATACTCGCAATAATCATTGTATCAATAAAGACGGTAGTACCTCATCATATAGTTACACCCCCACATGTCCTCCATACCTTGTTGTATAGTGTCATATAGTAAATATCATCAAATAAACGGTAGTATTATTGAACGTATAGAGGGTGTTGATAGTATGTAATGTTGTTACACAAAACCCATTATATCTGAAAGTTCCATCATCACCAAATAAATGAAAACATACTCCAAGAGTAGGTATATTACAAGAAACTATTTAAATAACGATAGTCGTCGTTAAGAGGATACTTGAACTGGACAACTTATATTGAGCTATTATACATTCATTGATATATGATCATAATTTGTGTTTGATTAGAAGTGATTATTAACTACGTCGATTAGAAAACGTTAAGTAATATACAATGGCCGGTAATACACAAATTTACTCGGCGACGTATTCAAATGTGCCAGTTTTCGAATTTGTGACTCTGGAAGGGCCGATAATGAGAAGAAAACTGGATTCATGGATAAATGCTACGCATATCTTGAAAATTGCCAAATTTCCTAAGGCCAAAAGGACGAGGATATTGGAAAAGGACGTACAGACGGGGATACACGAAAAGGTGCAAGGGGGTTATGGGAAGTATCAAGGGACGTATGTTCCATTGGATTTGGGGGCTGATATAGCTAAGAATTTTGGAGTGTTTGATACCTTGAGACCCATTTTTGAGTTTACTTACGTAGAAGGAAAATCTGAAACTCCACCACCAGCACCAAAACACAGCCATGCGTCTGCGTCGAATGTAGCCAAGAGACAATCGAGTGTGAATAATTCTTCTGGGGATGCTAATAGTCTGAATAAGGGTACACACGCAAGAAAAACAAAGAGTATGACTTCGTTGTCTGGAGAGCCACCAAAAAAGAGAGGCAGACCTAAACGGGTTCCTATGCAAAGTAACATAGAACCAAGTTTACAACATACAGACACGACCCCAATAACCACCATTCCAGAATCAGGTCCAAGTATTGGAACGTTCAATAATAAAAAGTCGTTGGGCCATCCCACCTTAACCAGACAGGACACCGAACAAGATGCATTGCAAATAATGGCTAGTAATATGAGCGCCAATCAGGAAGACCTCGAATTAGCAGACAAGAGTAGTGATGAGGATATGGGTAACAGAACACCAATTGATGCCCAGGATGAAAACATACACCATGATGATAATGACGAATTAATGACCGGAAGAGAATTATTTGGGACACCTAGAAATTCGTTTGAGAGAATTGTACAATCCCACAATCAAAGTCATAACCACCTTAATGGTTCCATTCATGATCCCTACGGGTTACTGCAGTATCACCATCATGCTAACCATACTCAATCAATGAAAGACGATTCAATCTATGCAGACTACTTTACCAATTTATTGAATTACTTTTTGGAAGACGGAAACAACAAGGTACGATCCACTCAGGAAAGCAATATTCCAGACAAAATTTTAAATCCTCCCCAACCATTGTCTAAAATAAATATAACTCAACCAGTCGATAATGAAGGGAATACCATTTTCCATTGGGCATGCTCAATGGCAAATAATGGAATGATTGAATTTTTGTTAGCAACATTTGAAAGCTTTTTAAACCCGGATTTAAAAAATAATAGAGGAGAAACACCATTAATGTTTTTGGTAAAATTCAGTAATTCTTACCAATTGAAAAATTTTCCTACATTGTTGGACCTACTCTTTGACTCTATACTATCGATTGATAACTATGGTCGGACTGTGTTGCATCATATTGCGCTTGCTGCAAATAATCTCACCAGTGAAGGGTCGATTAATGCAAACACTGATATTCACTCTTTCAAGAAGAATAAGGAGAGGTTTGCCAGATACTATATGGAATGCTTATTTGCAAAGATAATCGAATTTCAGGAAATTCGGGAACTGCAAGAAATAGAAAATAAAAAACTTTCACTTAGTGACAAGAAGGAACTAATTGCTAAGTTTATCAACCATCAAGATATTGATGGCAACACAGCATTTCATATAGTTGCTTACAACTTAAACAAAAAGTGCATTAAAGTATTCATAAGCTACCACAAATATATCAATTTCCATTTGAAGAATTTGGTGTCTTACACAGTGGAGGAATACTTAGCATCGCATAATCATGTATTGAGATTGGATACCAGCAATGATGATTCTAAGGAAATGCAGGATATCCAGGAAGAGGCATACAAATATTTGAACCCCCAGTTTCAGGGTAATAATTTAACAATAAGAAACAACAGCACCCAAAGTTTTGAGTCTCAGATGTATTTTTCAAAAATGGCCGTTAACTTGCAGAATACCACTGCTAATTTAATAACAGAGAAGTTAACCGAATTGGCATACATTGTTGATAAGGAATTGTCAGAGAAGGATGAAAAGCTATTAATGTATTTCAAATTATTAAAAGCCATTGGTCACGAAAAGCTATTATCACAGAGGGCCGTATTACAGTTTTTCAAACTAGAATATTTGATTGACGATATCATGGCTGATCACGATCAAAGCAATAACGATAATCTCATAATTGACACCGAAAAGGATAGAATTATACAGGACGAGATTAATCGATTGATAAGTGATTTAAGCTTCCAATTCTTGCAGAGAAAGGACCAGCTAGACGAGGTGTTTACCAAGTACAAAGCAATTTCTAGTGCGGTGCAAAACACAAAGGTGGCCGAACTAGCATCCACTCTTTCGCAGCATGAGTCGAACTCATCGTCCTCCGAAGACGAAACTCCGTCGGAACAAGTCCGCTTGTCAATCGAACTACAAACGCAAATCGTCAAGTACAAGCAAATGCTTCACAAACTCCATCAACAGCATTTGCAAGTGCCTCTTTCATCACACGACAACGCGGATACCAAGGAAAACAAAGAAAATATCAAAGAGGAGGCCCAAACCAACCACACCGCGGAACCTGCGCCTCACTCCGTTATCGCCAAATACCCAAAGGACGACAAACTCCACAAATACTGTAAATTAATAGCTTTATGCTGCGGCATGAATTTCAACGACGTGGAGAACTCTATTGACTTGATCGAACAGTCGTTATCCAAATCAGCCCCCAACATGCAATAATCTTACTTTATAACTGTATTAATATAACTGTACCTATAATTCACATAATATTTCATTAGTATTCATTTTACTCTGTACTATCGTATTTGTGTCGACCCTGCTCTTCTACTACGAAATTACCATTTAAGTCTACAATATCATCACTTGTCACTACATTCCTTTCAACTGAACCTCAATTGCCTCTTGGTGACCTGTCGATCTAACATCACATACTTCAACCTAATATGGAGTACCTGATGCACCTCGTATTGCGCACAGTGTAGAGATGTCGTTCACATGTCCATCACCGTTTTTAGAGCACCGTAAACATCCCTCTCGACGATGCTGTGTGTCTGTTTCGCCCCTGTACCTTACAGACCAGTAATTACGCTGTACCCTTGGGTTTTGACGCGCATCGCTTATAACGATTGCTTACAATGGCTCAATCTAAGGCCCTTTGAGCCTATCAGAAAGTTGCGCGAGGCGTGGCTAAAATTTTTGCATAATGGCTGATTCTATACATATTTGACTTATTTTATTAATTGAGTTATAGATTAGTTGATATAAGACTTCGAAGACAGCAAAATAGTGGAATAACGCGTTCATAGTATTCAAGATGTATTATGGACGGAGGTATTTGAGACTTGCATTAGTGGCGTCGGTAACATCAGTTATTTTATTGGTGATATTTGTACTGGCGTCCAGCAAATATAGTTTTGATGCATTTGGTGACTATAGTTCGAGCCAGCTGGTTAACCCTGCATTCAATTCGGAAACCAAAGGAAGTTCATTCTTGAGTAAAATAAGCTCGTTGTATTCAAAGGATGGTGATAAGCAGATGTTGATAGACAAGTTTCCCCTTGATGCTTCGTTGACAGACAACGCGTTGTATACGGAGATGAAAATGAAAACATACGGTGACCCGGCGCCATATTTGTTGGGCAAACCGACTGACTTCGAGATCACAGAAGAGGATATGTGCAAGCGTTTGGAATACGAATCTGAGTTCGAAGTCAGTAAACAAACGTATCTTCATGCAGACTACGAAAAGGTCCAAAAGTCGCTAAAGGCAAGCCAAGAGTACAGCAAGTTGATCGAACAGGCCGACGAGCAATTCAAGCCTACTATTCCGGTGGAACACCGGTGGTTTAGATTTGGAGGTGCTTCGGCGTGGTTACCGCAATACGAACTTCATTACATGGTCAGCAGAGTTCTCTACTCTCCATCAGGCATACCGAACAAGTCGTTTGTGAGTTTCCTTTATATTCAATTGTTTGATAAAAATTGGGTAGAAATGGACGAGACCACCTTGACCGTCCCATATGAGAAGAAAATCATGAAGACTATGACCAACGCCGATGGCTCGGTTACGGAAGCTCTTCTTGAAACCAAGTTGGGATCCAGAGAAATTACGTATCCAAGCTTATTACCGATCTCTTTTGATGTTCAAATGCAGGTGCCAAGTGGAAAGTACTACTTTGGGCCTGAAGACCCTAGAATTTTATTGAGAAAGAATTCGTTGGGATTCGAGGAGCCATTAATCGTGTTCAACATGAAAAACAACGAGTTGGTTAAACGTCTTATGTACTTGTATCTTCCATTTTCGAACCACTTACAATACTTAAAGAAGAGATCGGAACCATATGCGTATGTGGAGAAAAATTGGACTCCTTTTATCAGTGCAGCATCTCCCGAAAAGATTAACTTCATTTACTCCATCGATCCATTGGAAGTCCTCACGTGTGACGTTGGAACAGCCACTTGTGATTTCTTGCAGAAGGCACTGAAGGAGGACTTCAACTACGTTGGGCCGTTGAGAGGGGGTACTCAATTAGTTCATTTACCGTTCGACCACCTCATACCAGACCACATTTTAGACAAATTTAAGTTGCCTAAAAACAGGAGAATTTATATAGGTTGGGCTAGAGCGCATCTCGACAAATGTGGCTGTGGTGAGTCGATGTACAGACCTAACATGATTATCTTGGTTGAAGACTTCAACCCCGAAGAAAACAGGTTCTACTACAAATTAAGTGACGTTTCCGAGTACGTTGATTTCAATGCCCATGTGCCTCCTTGGACCTCGCCCAAGTTGGACGACAATGGAAATTTGATCGAAGACAGCGTCGTAAATGATTGTGATGGTAGAAACGTCCTCATTCCAAATTCGATCGCATACTGGGAAATAGAATCCGTCGTCAAGGACACCACCCTGTACCTGCGTAAGTTCTTCGAAAGAATACCTACCGACGAGGAAATTATCGATTCTCGTGCTCACAAAGTTACCAAGTACACCCCGAGAGACTCTGCAGCTATCCGTCTTTCATTCAACGATTACATGGGTGTCACTTTGTCTGCTGCAGATAGTGATGTCAGCATTGTTCATATCAGGGGCTTGTTGAATTACATATTGGATTTGCCATCGTTGTTCGATGAATCTACGATGGTCTTGGGCATTTCAAAATTCCAGCCTAGAGGTCATGATGTGAATAATAAGTGTGCCATGTCTGCCAGTAGAAGATACTGTATTAGTTATGCAGAAAGTCATGGAGGTGTCACTAACTACTAGTTTACCTCCATATTTGCTATTACGACAAATTTCAGTGGGCCACAGCCATGCCATTAAATTTAATAACTGTAACTATATTCATTGCTAGCACATCCAAACCCATGTGCTATTTCTATAGTGTCTGTGGACTTGCTGAGTTGTTTACCATAGAGTTGCAAGCTACATACGAATCATAATACATTAGGTCTACATTCTTATCCATACGGTTCATAAATTATATATATATAATTAATTCATTTATTAATATTATTCAATATTAGCGTATTCATTTTCTTCATGTTCATTGCTGGAATGCTATAGTATCGTACGGCGCAATCAATTTTTCGCGTTACCTTCAATAACCGAGATTAAGTCTGATTACTATGAGAATAAAGCTGCAAAAAAAAAAGTCGGTAATTGAAAAATTTCAGTAGTATAATTATATAAATAACCAATTGTTCACATCAAAATGGTTTGATTTATAAGAAAATATCATATATAATCATTCAATAGGTATGACAGATACTTCTAGTATAAAGGATGAGTTAAATAGGCAAACGTGGAATGAGTTGTCTGCATCTTCATCCAGTAGAACCGAACCGCCTGTTGCATTTACCGGATTTAATGACTCTAATATTGACAGTGAAAAAGAGTCTAGGAGAGGATCAGTTTCTTCTGTTAGTAGATCTTTAGACATAGTGAGACGTAGTTTTACTGGACAGTCGATAACAACGGCGGGATCGGCCATATATTCGACGCGGGAGATCTTTGGAGAAATGGATAGCGATGAGATCGACTTGCAAAGATGCCAGACCAAAAAGTCGATTTTGGACGAGTTGGTCCATAGAACACAGGAGTTAGAGGAAAGCTATAACCGGTCAGGTTACTACGAGAAGAGAGATGACTTGGAAAGCCAGTATGAGGAATTACCCGAGATGGCAGTACCGGTAGAAAACAACGGGGACGAATTTCAGGACATCGACCCCGAGTTGATTACGTGGGACGGGCATGATGACCCAGAAGATCCTAGGAACTGGAGTCTTAGGGTCAAACTGTACCTTGTTGCGTTTGTGTCCATCTATACCTTGGTGTCGCCGATGTCATCTTCGATGCCATCGCCTGCAATCGACACCATTTCCGAAGAGTTTGGAATTACCTCGTCGGTTGTTGCATCGATGATTATATCGATCCAGATTCTTGCATGGGCTGTGGGGCCATTGCTTATAGCGCCAATGAGCGAAAACGACAATTTTGGCAGAAAAATAGTACTCGACATTTCGATCTGGATGTCTTTCTTCTTCAATATAGGTTGTGCATTTTCAAAAACCACGACCCAAATGATGGTGTGTAGGTTCGTTGGTGGATTGTTTGGTTCGTCACCCATTAATATCGGAGCCGGAGTCATATCTGACTTATTCGATGCCAAATCTAGGAATTTTGCACTTGCTGGTTTTTCGCTTGCACCGTTATTAGGGCCAGTTATTGCGCCAGTTATTGCCGGGTTTATCAGTGACCATATGCAATGGAGGTGGATCTTTTACGTTTTGAGCATCTTTAACGGGGTGGTTGCCATCCTGGGCACTCTATTTTATAAAGAAACCTATGCGCCAGCTTTATTAAAACGCAAAGCTAGGCAGTTGCGAAAACAAACGGGCAATCAAAATTTGCATACCATCTACGAAATTACCAACGGAGAAACTTTCTGGGGTAAGATGTATGTTACAATGTCGAGACCATTGAAGTTGTTAATCACTCACCCCATGATTATGGGATTGGGCTCGTTCATGGCATTCACTTACGGTTTTATGTATCTCATGATTGTCACTTATCCAACCATTTATGGAGACAGTTATGGCTTTAGCAAGAGCATTACAGGATTAATGTATATTCCAATGGGTATCGGCTTTGTCTTGGGGGTTATGTTTTGGACAGTTATGATCGACAAAGTTTATCGTAATCTTACCGAAAAGAATGGCGGTGTTCCCAAGCCTGAATTCAAATTGCCATGCCTTTGCACCTCGGGTATTGGTATTGCAGTTGGTTTATTTTGGTACGGCTGGTCGGTCCAAAATCAATTGCATTGGATTATGCCTTCGATAGGTTCAGCCATATTTGCCTTTTCATTTATTGCAGTTTTCCAAACGATCCAGAATTATCTTATTGACATGAATAGCTTCACTGCTGCGTCTTCTGTTGCTGCTGCTGCTGTATTTAGGTCAATTCTTGGTTTCATAATGCCACTAGTCGCTCAGCCTATGTATAAGAAATTAACATATGGATGGGGTAATACTATGTTTGGTTTCATTGCATTATTGCTAGGAATACCTTTCCCCATTTTCTGTTATATGTATGGTGAAAAGCTTAGAAACTGGGCCAACAAAAGGTTCGAATTACAACAACTTAAGAGAGACCAAAAAAACTTGGAAAAGTTAAGAAAACAAATTTAATAACGTTCATGAATAGACTATATAAACTAGATTAGACAAACATAGAATAGCATAATAAGTATTCATCTTAGAAATAATAGGAAGACTACTATATTTTTCAAATCGTGCGATCTCGAAATATCAATTCTGATATAAAAAAATTACATCAAGAAGTGGGACTACAATCTCGTGGTATTATAGTCGTAATGGAACAAATACAACCGTTAACCGTAAAGACGTTAGAGCCTTTTCCTTTACCGAAATATTTGGATTCGTTGCCGGTATCAATCATCGAGCAATTTATCCAACTGCACAGTTTAGTACTGGGGTATATCAAGCAATTGCCAGCGTACCAAAAGTCGAATGAAACAATACTAGAGACATTAAACTGGCAAATAACCAAGTTAAACGAAATTAGTAGCATATTGAAGACATATAATGGTACTGGTACGCTAATAAAAGAGAAAATGGCGAAATTAAACTCGCTATATAGCGAATTTATCAACTTGGAAACGTACCAATATCAATTGTTATCGTCAAACTTCAATCAGGAATTTTTAAAAAATAAGTTTCACAAGGTAATAGTTGAGAATGACCAAGAATCAAAAGACTTAGTGAAAGAATTCAAAGGAAGCAGTTCTGACGATTTTGAAAACCTGTTTAATAACTTAATCAAAGATTTTAGGTCGAGTCGAAAGACATACCATTTGCGGAAAGAAAAGCTAAATAGGTGGAATGAAGAGAGAGTTAGTGGTTTCATATGATACGTTCAAAATGGACCTATAATATGATGTGACAATATAGAAACGTTTTGTGGGTATGTGAAATTGTGGATGAATTATCTATGAATTGTCATAATCATTTCACATTACATTAGTGGAACTACCTTATTTGAATTATCTCTTAAATACGAAAGTAGACACACGGAGGAAAACTTCAATATCTACAATTACATATAGTTTTTAATGATGTGTCTATTGAAAAAAACATATAGAAATTCAGAGCCAAGGCTTAAATTTCAAGCCATTATTTCCGTGGGGAAAAGAGTCCTACCTTACGCAGAATTCTTAACCTTTAACAGAATACATCCTTCTGCGGCCTCTTGGTCGAGGAAGTTCATTAATGCATAACTATCTTTCGAGTATTGGTAAGGGTCGTTGACGTTCTTACATGCGAAGAAACCTTCAGTAGTACCATTAACCTTTAAGTAATTATCTTCAAACTCAACCTTATATGGTTCGAGAACACCAATAATAGCAAAATTGCTGTATACTGAGAAAGAGTATGTAATTTCATCGCTAATGTCAAAGTACAATTTTTGGCTAGAAGAATCGTATTTCAAGTCTTGGGAGCCTTCACCCAAGAAGAAGTAATTCAATCCAGCACCCTCATGAAGGCTTGATAATCCGTTCCCGTTGATTTCCTCGTTATCCGACTCGACAATTAATTTAACATCCTTAATGGTATTTTTAACTGGGGAAGCTTGGGTTAAAGCAGCTAAAGCGGCGACACAGATGGTAGAAAATTTCATTTCGTTAATATAAGAGTGTTTTTTAATATTTAACTAATGTTTGAATAATAATACCAGATGAGAATTCACTATTCCTGAAAGATTTCGCAGCTATTTATACTATCTTTCCTACCCTGATTTACTATGCCTGGTCTAATTATAGAATATCGACTATAGTAAAGGGGTTGTAATTAGTTTGTTTTGTTGCTTTACAGTGATGCTGTTCTTCCATGTTAACCAACTTCCTGCGCTACTATTGTATTTCTCGCATCAACGTGCCTACGCTATCATTACAAAATACATGCCAGGGGAACGAACTGAGGGCCCATCAGTTACCCCAGCACTTATTAAAGACGTCACAACGCATATGTTTACATATTTGCTACCTCTATTATTAATATATATTTCTGGTCACAATAGTTCTATTTTTGGTCGCAGTTTAAAAAGTCATCGACCCATTTGCGGCACCGGTCAACCACGAATACCTTCCATTGACAGTATTTACCCATGTTCTACCGTGTATCAGAGAAACGAGTCTTACACGGCATACTATTTTTAAGTGCCATCTACAAGTCGAACCCCCTTAGAATAAATAAATAAATCTGTCATTTTAAAACCCTCTGAAGAAGCAATGAAATTTCTTGTGTACATAATTGCCCCGGTGTTACTGGATGCTTGAAATTCTTAACTTGTACTAGCAACAGAATAGCGTGATTCTTTACTAATACACAAGCTAATGAGTCTATATACAGTAAATCGTTAACGGTACTTCTAGCATCATGCTATTGATGAAAGCTAGCCGAAAATATAAAACGAAAGACATAATTCTTATTATTATTAAAACTTTCATATGATAAAGATGTGTAGGGATATTCGTAAGACCGTGCTATATACTTTCGATATATCTGTCATATGAGAGGTTGACATGATCTTAGGACCGAATTTTCCGTATAAACCATTTTTCGGAGTTTGGCTTACCGAGTAGCCATTTTTGTCCCCAATGAGTCCGAACGAGCAAGAGATGTCAATGAAATTTGTATAAATATTTCTATTAGTATTGCAATTGGTAAAGATTTTAAAAGAAACCGTATAAAATGTTTAGCAGAATCGGTTCTAGAAGGCTCTTGTCTACAAATAGTAGGCTTTTGAATACTATCAAAACGGTAGAAGTGAAAGGAGGTTCAGTTGTTCCTCCTCCTCCTCCTCCTAAGAAGCGTAGATCCATCTGGAAGACTACAAAGAGATTTACGCTTTTTTCAATCCTTGCTGCTGTTGGAACGCTTTCGTATAAGATCTATAGTGAGTCACATCCAGGTGAACAACAAAAGCAAGTCCCATACTTTGAAAACGGCCAAAAGAAGAAGACGCTTGTTATCTTAGGGTCCGGTTGGGGTTCGATTTCGTTATTAAAGAATTTGGATACTACTTTGTACAATGTTGTTGTTGTTTCTCCTAGAAACTATTTTCTTTTCACACCTTTATTACCTTCGTGTCCAACGGGTACCGTCGAATTGAGATCTATTATTGAGCCAGTGAGATCTATTACGAGACGATCGCCAGGTGAGGTTCTTTACTTGGAAGCTGAGGCTACTGATATTGATCCTGTTAACAACAAGATCACCATTAGGCAATCTACTACTGTTCACTCTGGTCATTCTGGTAAGGATACTAGTTCTTCGAAGTCGACGGTGTCTGAATATACTGGAATTGAGGAAATTACTACGTCTCTTAATTATGATTATTTAGTTGTTGGTGTTGGTGCTCAGCCTTCTACCTTCGGTATTCCTGGTGTTGCAGAACATTCTACTTTCTTAAAAGAAGTCAGTGATTCTATGAGTATTAGAAAGAGATTGATGGATGTTATTGAAGCGGCAAATATCTTACCAAAAGGTGATGAAGATAGAAAAAGATTATTGTCTATCGTTGTCTGCGGTGGTGGTCCAACAGGTGTTGAGGTTGCCGGTGAATTACAGGATTATATTGACCAAGATTTGAAAAAATGGATGCCAGAAGTTGCTTCTGAATTGAAAGTTATTTTGGTCGAAGCATTACCAAATGTCTTGAACATGTTTAACAAAAAGTTAGTGGAATACACCAAACAAGTCTTCCAAGATACAAACATTGACTTAAAAACTAACACTATGGTCAAGAATGTTAGCGACAAGCATGTTACATGTCTGGTTAAGGATCCAAAGGATGGATCCACTGAAATTCACGAGATTCCTTATGGTATGTTGATTTGGGCCACTGGTAATGCTCCAAGAGCAATTACCCATAAATTGACATCTAAGATTGATGAACAAAGAAACGCCAGAAGAGGTTTATTGGTAGATGAAAGATTATTGGTTGATGGAACTGATAATATTTACGCCTTAGGTGATTGTACTTTTACCAAGTATGCCCCAACTGCCCAAGTTGCATTCCAAGAGGGCACTTTCTTAGCTAAACATTTTGAAAAGATCCATGAACTTGAAACAACTAAATTTACCATGCAAAACCCTACCGCAACTGACAATATTGACAGATTGAAGAAGAAATTTTCCATCTTGCAAGAAAAATTACCTGTCTTTGAATATGTTAACCAAGGTGCTTTAGCCTATATTGGTTCTGAAAAAGCTGTTGCTGATTTGGTCTGGGGCGACTGGTCTAATGTCACTACTGGTGGTACTTTGACTTTCTTGTTCTGGAGATCTGCATATGTCTACATGTGTCTTTCTGTTAAGAATCAAGTTTTAGTCTGTTTAGATTGGGTCAAAGTTTCGATATTTGGGAGAGATTGCTCTAAAGAATAATCTACTTAAATAATAATTATTAAATATTAGATTCTTTGTATGTTTTAGATTGAATGTAATTTCGAAAATTTATTAAGTTAAATAATTAGATATAGTTAAGAGGCTTTCAAGTTGGGAGCTATAAATATGTTTACATATTTTTTAAGAAATAATTAATTGCCTGCGTAGCGTAATGGTTAACGCGTTTGACTTCTAATCAAAAGATTGCGGGTTCGACTCCCGCCGTGGGTTCTTTATTTTTTTAATTGCTCTACTAATTGTCCCAAAAAGATACGACGTTACGATAATAAATATGTATAGAGTAAAGAGTTTAAAAGTAGAAATCTGAATCATTATCATTGAAATCAATTTTTTCATCATCATCAAAGTCATCGGACATAAAATTTTCCTTAGGGTACTTCTCAGTAGGGTATCCTGGTGCTTTTTCGTTAGGGAATCTCTGACTTGTAAGATTATTATACGGATGAGCACCTGCATTCTTGCTTCTTTGGTTTTCGAAATGAAATGCATTATTACTGGGTTTTTCTTTATTATAGTAGCCTGCTTCGCTAGTCGAGGAAGTGATCTCGTCCGACTCGTTATCTGAAGGATAGTATGTCTGTTCGGCTGTAATAATAGCCCTGATTTTGGCTGGTAATACATCTGGTCTGTAGAATCTCAAGTCGACTCTACCGATAAGGTATAGTAAATTAACTAGAACTTCTAATACCCCCCAGCACATATAAGCCGCAATTGGATTACATGCTGGACCTGCATCTCTATTGTATCTGGCTTGAAATACAGCGACAGATCTGACGATAGCACCCACGAATATGGCAAAGGTGGTGCATAAGACAATGCCCAAAGATTTGTTATGTGCCAAAGTACCTCTCTGGTTAGTTAAACCCTCCACCATCTTATAATGATGATGGGTCGAAGCAATAACTCGAATTGCATAACGGTGATTGTGGTTTCTCTTCATAAACGATTCTTCGGCCTCCTGGGCCGCATGTGGACGAACAAAATAGAATGGATGGAACGATTCGATCCACCATGGTTGATATGTGTATAAGTTTTCATCCTTGGTGGTTGGCTTGAAAAAATACGATAAGGCAATCAAACTGACCGCGGTTAATGAATACAATATAATCAAAATGGCACTCACTTTGACCACATTCTTGTAGCTCTCGTACGCATGCTCGGACAATAAGTATGTATATGGTACGGCTGATGCCACGATGGTCATAGCAACAACAGCTGCAACAACAGAATAAAGCAAGTACATAGTATAATTAAACAATCTTCTGGACCCACCAACTGGATGTCTCCACGTAAATAATCTTTGGGCCAATATCAAATTGACTGCAACCAAGATAATCGACGACAAAATCAAAAGCACCTCGTCTGCAATCCCTAGCTTCACCATAGTAATATCATGGGCCCACACTACTCGGAGTGCCCACCCAATTACCTTCAATATACAATAGAATGTCCATATCAACGACAAGTAGAAATAATGTCCTCTGGAAAAGTTTATGAAGAATAGTACCAAATGCGCAATACCGATTACTGCGAAAACTGCTAAGAACACAGCACTAGGGGCTATATCGCTTTTATCAGGATATGAACCAAATATGTTGTTTTGTAATCCCATAGTATAGTCAATCATTACTGGAGGAATATTATTGCCTAGTAAGTTTCTTGCCTGACTAACTAAAACATCAATCCCAGTACCATCTGCGGCACCGTTATTAGTGGCCCTCAATAAGTGTAACAAGCCACCTACAGCCGAATTATCGTCAGTTCCACTCATTTGATCCTACTACCATACAATATCAACATCAACATCTACCACCATTCTATAATATATATATATGTGATGATGTGTGACCCCGCCCATGACTGGGAGATAAAATCTCCTGAATAGGCATGAAATCTTTTATTGTCAATTTTAGTGAGCATATGATTTGAGAACCATCAAACCTTCCCCAAATGAAAATTCTTTGCCATAATTGTATACTAATTAGGAATAAACAGAAAATGTAGCATAAAAAATATACTTCTTAAAAATATAGGAAATAACATGATATTAAGAAGGCCCCTCAAAGGTATGGAGTGGAGTGGCGTGGAGAATGAGAAGTATATATATAAAGAAAAATGTATAGGTATGAAGGTATAAACTGTAGGCAAAGAAGAATCAGAAATAAAATTCAGACTCATTATCCTCTGTGACTGCATCTTCCTTTTCGTGCTTGTTTTCGTAGTAATTAGGAGGTAATGATTCCGAATCACTAAAATCAAATTCAGATTGGTCTAGAGACAAATTGTCACCGTCAAGAGTAGCTTGTTCTGAAGGAGAAGGCATGACAGAAGGACGAGTAGTTTGTTCGGCAGTAATGATGGCTCTGACGGCTGCAGGTAAGACATCTGGTCTATAGAATCTCAAATCAACCCTACCAATGATGTATGACAAGTTGATGATAGTTTCCAAAAGCCCCCATACTATATACATGGCCACGGGTGCACATACAGGGCCCTCATCCCTGTTGAATCTTCCCTGGAAAACCGCTATTGATCTTAAGACGGCACCTATAAAAAGGAAAAGTGTTGACAGACAAATGATCAACAAGGATGTGTTGTGTTTCAAGTTACCTCTTTCGTTACTCAAACCCTCGACACTTTTGTAGTGGTGATGAGTTGCGGCTATAACACGAATGGCGTGACGGTGATTGTGATTTCTCTTCATGAACGATTCTTCGGCCTCCTGGGCAGCGTGAGGACGGACAAAATAGAATGGATGGAACGATTCGATCCACCATGGTTGGTATGTGTATAAGTTTTCATCCTTCGTGGTTGGCTTGAAGAAATACGATAAGGCAATCAAACTGACCGCTGTTAAAGTGTACAATATAATCAAAATGGAACTTGCTTGCACCACTTTCTGGTAGTTCTTATATGTTCTTTCGGACAAATAATACAAATAGGGTATGGCGGAAGCAACAATAGTCATGGCAATGACCCCGAGCACAACAATATAAAGACCAATCATAATGGACCAGAAAAGCTTTCTGGAACCACCCACAGGATGTCTCCAAGTAAACAATCTTTGTGCTAGAATCAAGTTGATAGACACAAGAATGATGGACGGAATAATCAAAAATACCTCATTGGAAATCCCCATTTGCGTTACAGTGATATTTCTGGCCCACGCAATCCGAAGGGCCCATCCAACCACTCTTGTAAGACAATATCCGAACCACCCCAAAGACAACCAGAAATAATGGCCTCTTGAAAAATTCATGGAAAAAATAACCAAGTGCAATATTCCCAAAATCGCAAACACTGCAGTGAAAATAGCTGATGGTACCACATCACTTTCGTCTGGATACGATCCAAATAAATTAATCTGTGTTCCTAAGGTGTATTCCACTAATGAAGGTGGAATATTTTTTCCTAAAAGATTATGGGCTTGATCAACATTCAATCTAATACCAGTTCCTTCTGCGGCCCCATTATTAGTGGCCTGCAAGAACATCATCAACCCATGTGTTGCCGAATAACCTTCACTCATTATGGGTATTCGATACTAGATTAATTACGGTTGAAGAATATTACTATGTGTTGAGTTTCTTTTGGAATTATGATTTAATTAGTTCCGTTGATTTAGTACCCCAGGCACTAATTAATTTATGTCAGCTGCGAAATGTTATGATGCTTATGAGTTTCCTAATCGGGTAATTTTTTCATAAATGATTTCCTATTTCATATTCAGGTCCAATTGTACGACCTAAACAATAGTATAGGATCCTTGCATGTGTTATTAATTAACGGATTGGGATAAGACTTTTTGTAAACATTTCAAGTGACTTAATGGCTCTTTCTCTTTCTTATTTGAGCCATATGGTCAACACTGGCCGACTGCGATAACACTAAAGAGGGAAGGATGCGTATTACGAGTGATCGATTATGGGTGGCATCAGATATATCCTAGAGTTATTGGTATGCTCAACAGAGTGAATTCGCTTTTGGTGTAGAACTGGGCGTAGGATGTGGGCAGAATTTACGAGTAGAAATGTAGAACAGCATGAAAAGATTTTATACTAGGAGAAAGTTTTGAGAAGACTAATAAAACCTGGTGCTAAGAGATATGTCGTATATGAGGAGGACGCCCATCTTTGATATTTGTGAGTTTGAGAATGATATATATTAATGGCTATGAACAGAAAATTTGAAAATTAGTGAGAAATTACAAAAAGATCAGAAATTGCAAAATACTAGAAATACTGTACCTGTTCACCATTCATAGCTCTTACGTAAAAGCTGTATATGTAGAAACAGTATGCTATATGGATTGTTCATATGTTTTATTGACCGTACCAGTCGTAGAAATATATCGAGCGTTGTCGTTTGCCTAGGGGGACTAATTGATTGCATGAACATACATGATATACATGATGAGTAGATTATTAGCACTAAGCAAATTTAACAAATAAAAGTACAACGGGTAGATATGCTAGAGAAGTCGAAAATAATGTTTGAGTTTAAAAATTGTAAATATTGGTCGTAGAACGTAACGAATAGGAATTCTTTCGTTTCTGGTCTACAGCTTAATTACTATTTAACGTAATGATAGACAGAAATTCAACGACAAAAACAAGGAGAAACTATTGATATTCAATCAAAAGAATGCTCTAGCTCCAGCTCAACAAATAAGTCTGTAAATGGACTAAAAAATCAAAATCAATATGTTGAAGTAGCTTTTGAGTCCATTACTGAAAAATTCCGTAAAATGTTTCACAAAACTCGCTAAAAACCATTTTTCTTATCAAAGACAACGTTTGATTTACAATTAGAGTTGGTATTTAGTCATGCCTACAACCAAGATAGACTATAGCGTTGCTCATAATATACTTAATGAAAAGACTCTCAAAGAAGGTGAACTAATAGAGAACGACAACATCATTTCGACACCATATGGTTTATCAATCTTGGAAATACAAGGTGAGTTAAACCTCCCACAG